TAACAACAATAATAATCACTCCAGAAACCACATAACGACTTTTAATGTAACACGTAACGCGATTCAACGTAAAACCGATTCAAATGCACGATCGCAACGATGATCTTCTTCAAACCGCACACGAAGTCTTCGTTCTTCGTTAAAAAAAAAAACAATTTACGTAAATTTCAGACCGATTCCGAAGAGCAAAAGACGAACGACCGATCGACCAACAGCCAGCCGCACCGTTGTGTTAAGTTACAGCGTTGAGTTGGTATTAAACGATCAGAATGCACGAAATCAGCAACAAGAAAGACCCGAAATAAAGCAACGCCAACAACAACAACAACAACACTAACAACAGTCCAAAGAAGGAAGACAACAAAAGATATTCAACAACTAATAACAGCAATGAGGAGAAGAAGAAGAAAAAAACAAAGATACAAAAGTATCTCATTTAGTGTGTAGGCATGCATGCACATGGACGGAAAAGGCGAACCAGATACACAGATAGGTAGACGGGCAGACAAACAGTCAGCCAGCCATCTAACTAGACAACAAGCGTGGTGTCAAATTCAGAGATTATTTGTGGAGCAGCACAGCACAACGCACCACATCGCATAAACAAAAAGGTAAACAGAGAGTGAAAACCCAAGATCAATCAGTTTGCCTGCTCCGCTCGTGAGTTTTTCTTGTTGGGAGAAAAGTTCTCCCACAGAGATAGAAAGAGAGCCAAGAAATTCTAAAAAAACAAAGAGTAGCTACCTATCTTCTCAATCTCATGTGGGGCATGGGAGTATTTGTATTGTTGTCTAGCAAGTAAAACGGAAATACTTAAACATATTTAAATGATTTGCTTTGTTTTTCTTGGATACAATGTGTTCTATGTGACATATTTTGATGTCAGACGGTGTGTGGATTCGATGAACATTAGGGTGGTGGGCTTTGTGGGTTAATGTAAATTATTCATTCTACTCTAGGTATTTTAAAGAAAAGAAAAAAAAAAACATTTTTATATTCTCCACCAATCATAGTATGGAGGGTATATTAAGTATATGTATTCTTGATCAGCGTAAAATTCTTAGACGGTATAGCCCTGTCCGTCCGTATTTCCGTCTGTTGTAATCACCGTAAAGTCAAAACGAAGTAAGATAGGGAGCTCAAATTTTCCACAGATCAGTATTTTGTCTGCAGACAGGTAAAGTTCGAAGATCAGCCCACGATATCGTTTAGCCCCCATATAACGGTACTCCCCGATATTCGGGGAGAAGACCTCGACTTCTACATTTTTCAATGGAATTGTCTGAAATTTTTCATAAAGAGTTCTTTGTGGGTACTTTATTGCCTGGATGAGAATTGTTTATATAGGTCCACGATATTGTATAGCCCCATATAACGACACCCCGTTATACCTCATCATCAAAATACGATTTTAGCGCCATTGTTCTCCGGAATTGTTTCAAATTTCGTGTTTAAAATTTGTGGCTCGCAATGAGTACTACAACCAATGAAGAAACAAGTAAAAAAGCTTTTAATACCCTCCACCATTTGGTACAAATTTGGCAATTTCCAAAAAAAACCGTTAAAAATTCTGTTAAAATCTTAAAAATACAGAATGCCTATACGACGACGTGGACCTGCATAGGCAACTTTTGTCATAAGTTATTACAATATTTAAATGCGAAACTTGAAGAAAAATCTGTTTATAAAGTAGCTAAAATCATCAAAACACCGAATATAGGGGGTATCGTTATATGGGGGTTATACGAAGACGTGGTCCTGCACAGACAATTTTCTGGCATGGGCTGAAGTATCCATTACGAACTTTACATGCGAAATTTGAAAGAATCCCTGTAAATAATGTCGCTAAAATCATTAAAATTCCGAATATCGGGGGGTACCGTTATATGGGGGCTATATGAAGACGTGGACCTACATGGCTCATTTTTTGACTTTGGATGAAGTATCCATTACGAACTCAAATACCAAATTTGAAACGATTCCGGTAAACAATGTCGCTACAATCATCAAAATACCGAATATCGGGGGGTACCGTTATATGGGGACTATATGAAGACGTGGACCTGCACAGATAATTTTCTGTCTTAGGCTCTAGTATCCATTACGAACTTCAAATACCACATTTGAAATAATTCCGGTGAATAATGTCGCTAAAATCATTAAAATACCGAATATCGAGAGGTACCGTTATAAGGGGGCTATATGATAACTTGGACCTACATGGCCATTTACGAACTTAACCTGCCTACTGGCAAAATATACATGTGTGCAAAATTTTAGCCTTCTATCTCAATTTGTTCGAAAGATAGCGTGATTACAACAGACAGACAGACGGACAGACAGACAGACAGACAGACAGACAGACAGACAGAAAGAATATATATACTTTGTTGGGTCTGACATGAATATTTCGAGGAGTTACAAACGGAATGACAAAATTAATATACCCTCCATAGTATGGTGGAGGGTATAAAAATGGTCTATGATGGTCTACGTTTACATATGTATATCCCACGAATAACGGTATCTCCCTCAGTTCGGTATTTTGATCATATTACCAACATTATTCACCAGAATTGTTTGAAATTTCGTATTTGAAGTTAAGGATCAGTAGTATAGCCTATGTAACTACTACTACAACTTATGCAGGTCCTCGTCTTCGTATAGCCCCCATATAAAGTTTTTCATTTATTTTTCGACTGATTTTTTTTTTTTTTTTGAAAACTTTCTAGACACTTGAATATGCGGTAAGGGTATTAAAAGTTCAGCTTATCCGAACTGCTGCTCATTATACCCTACACCACAAGGTTGTCAGGGTATTATGTCTTTGTGCATTTGTTTGTAACAGGCATAAGGTTCAATCTGATAATATGCATAGTTTCTTTTGATGATCTGCAGAGAATCACATTCTGAGTCGATTTATGCATGTCCGTCTGTCCATGAATTTTTGTAAACAAAGTACAATTCGCATTTATTGCCCTATCCAGATGAAATTTTGCACAAATCATTTGTTCGGCCCAAGGACGAACCCTATTGAAATTGGAGATAATCGGTCAAAATTTAGATATAGCTCCCATATATATCTTCGTCCGATTTGCTTTTTATTGTGCACCAAATGTGTAATATCAGTCCGAATAGTATGAAATTTTGCACATACAGCCAAATTAGGCCTGAAAATAAGTATGCCAAATTTTATCGAAATCGGTTCAGATTTGGATATAACTCCCATATAAAACTTCGACCGATTTACGTTTTGTTGTGCACCAAACGTCTAATATTTGTCCAAATGGGATGGAATTTGGCACATACGACCGAATTGAGTCTAGAAGCTAGTATGTCAAATTTGATGAAGATCGGTTCAGATATAGCTATAGCTCCCATATAATATAATTATAGCGTGTATGTTGAATTCTCCCATTAAAACGATTAATTGTTATGCGGAGCTCCACTAAATTAGCAAAGTGGTGTGGGGTATCATAAAGTCGGCCCGCCCGACTTTAAGACTTCCTTTACTGGTTACATTTTCGCATTGAAATAAATTGTTCGAATGTTTGAAATTCTTTATTAATCTTTTGTAGATTGACTAACAAAACTCTTCACGAACGTATATGACTTTAATATGTCCTTCTTAAATGGAAAAGACCTTCTATAGAAGCAAAAACATTAGTCTTCTGCCAGCTAGAGTTGAGAACCACATAAGCTGAGTAACTCATTACAGTGTAACAGTAACTTGCATATATGTTTGCAAATAATCGGAAGTTCCCCAAAAATTAAGGAAGAAGGAAGAATAATGAGAAGACCTTCACCTAGCTCTTTTACAAGAATATCATCAGCTTGCTTGTCTATAAAAAAATACCTTCTCGTCTTCTATAAAAGAAAACTTTCTGTCTTTTATGGGAGAAAACCTTCTCGTCCTCTATAAAAAGACCTTCTCGTCTCTTATGAGAAGACATTCTAGTCTTCTATGAGACGACATTCTCGTCTTCTATGAGAAGATTTTCAAGTTTTACACGAGAAGACTTTCTCATCTTCTATGAAAGAAGACCTTCTCGTCTTCTATGAGAAAAAATCTCGTCTTCTACGAAAAAATAGCTTCTCGTGTTCTATAAGAGGACCTTCTCGTCTTCTATGTGGAGATATTCTAGTCTTCTGTGAGAAGACCTTCTCGACTTATGTGAGAAGACCATCTTGTCTTTTATGAGAACACCTTCTCGTCTCCTGTGAGAAGACCTTCTCTTCTTCTGCGAGAAGACCTTCTCTTCTTCTGTGAGAGGACTAATTGTCTTCTGTGGGAAGATCTACTCGTCTTCTGTGTGAAGACATTCTCGACTTCTATGAGAAGATCTACTCGTCTTCTATGAAAGAAGACCCACTCGTCTTCTATGAAATAAGACCTACTCGTCTTCTATGAAAGAAGACCTTCAGTTCTTCTCTGAGAGAATTTTTAGTTCTTCTGTGAGAAGACCTTCAGTTTTCTGTGAGAAGACCTTCAGCTTTTCTATGACGAAGATTTTCAGCTCTTTTTTATGACGAAGACCTTCAGTTTTATCCTATGACGAAGACCTTCGGCTCTTTTCTATTACGAAGACCTTCAGCTCTTCTTTGACAAAGACATTCAGCTCTTCTTTCACGAGGATCTATAGTTCTTCTTTGACGAAGAACTTCAGCTCTTCTTTGACGAAGATCTTCAACTCTTCTCTGACGAAGACCTTCAACTCTTCTTTGACGAAGAACTTCAGCTCTTTTTTGACGAAGACCATCAGTTCTTCTTTGAAAAAAAAATATTCAGCTCTTCTTTGACGAAAAACTTCAGATCTTCTTTGTTGTTCTCTTAATTTTGGACATTAAAAAAGTGTTATCTAATAAAATTTTTCAAAATGGTAAAATGAAATGGAACAAGGCTATTATCTAGCCGTGACACTTCTAAATTACTTTTGATTATCTTCTATAATCCAATAAATGAAAACTGACATTTTGCCCACTTGGTGGCAGTATTCTACGTCTACAACATTGATCACTGATAACAACCAAATGTGATGCCCAAAAGTTCTCCCAAACAATGACTTGCCAATATAAACGACAAAAATCGAAAACAACCGGCCGGTTGATCACAGTTCAAATTTATTCTTTCTTTGTGTCTGAAGTGAAGACGTCAATGTTTCTCACCGCATTCTTAACATTCTTCGTTATAATTTGCTCGATTCTGAGCTTTTTATATCATCGTAATTTTAACTACTGGACCCGCTTTAAGAATGTGCCAAGTGTACCGGGACGTATTTTCAGTGGCAATGTCATTGATTTTTTGACATTCAAAACTAATTTCGGTTTCCATCTGAAAACAATTTATGATGATGAAAAGTTTACCTCAGCTCCAGTTGTGGGTGTTTATGGCCTCTATAAGCCATCTTTGCTAATTCGTGATCCGGATATAATCAAATCGGTGCTCATCAAGGATTTCGATCGTTTTCATGATCGTTTTGCAAAGATTGATTATCACCATGACCCGTTGGGCGGACAAATGATGCTGTTTGCCGACTATCCGCTGTGGAAGGAAATGCGCACCAAATTGAGTCCCACTTTTACCAGTGGCAAACTGAAGAACATGTATCCTCTAATCCAACAAGTTGGTGAAAATATGGTAAAATTCTTAGACTCCAAGCCGAGTGTTTTCCAGGTGGAAGTAAAAGACCTGTGTGCCCGTTTTACAACCGATGTGATTGCCACAACTGTGTTTGGCTTCCAATCGAATTCTTTGGCAAATCCTGCAGAAGATTTCTACAAACAGCTGCGTCTCCTAAATTATTTTACATGGCGAAGATCTTTTGATTTCATTATTGTCTTGTTTGCCTCGCAACTAACGCGGATTATGGGTGCAAAAATTCTCTATCCCGAAACTGAGCATTTCCTCAGAAGTGCCATAACTCAAGCGGTGAGGGAGCGAGAAGCATGCATTGGTGGAGAGAAACGTAATGACATCATTGACACCTTTGTCAAGCTAAAGCAAGAAGCCGAGCAGAGGGGTGAACGGAATATTGAACAACTGATGGAATGTCTCATTGCCCAGGCGGGTATATTTATGGTGGGTGGATTTGATACCTCATCGACCACAATGTCCAATGCTCTATTGGAATTGGCCAAGGACACGAGTGTGCAAAAGAAACTGAGGGAAGAGACCAAGGAAGCTTTTGTGGAAGGTAATGGCGAAATATCTTATGAGGCCCTGAACAAATTAACCTACCTAGAGATGGTGATTAATGAGACCCTGAGATTGTATCCGGTATTGGCGGTGCTTGAGAGACAACATGCCACAGCAGGGGGAAAGGAGCCGTATTCATTGCAACCCTATTGTGATTTTAACCTACCCGATGGTATGCCGGTTTTTATACCCGTCTTTGGTCTGCATTATGACACCAAGGTTAGCTAAAGCTTTGCATTGACGATATATTAAATAATTTTTTTATATTTTGTACAGTATTGGTCAAATCCCAAGAAATTCGATCCGGAACGTTTTTCACCAGAGAATAAGCCGCTGATAAATCCCATGGTCTATTTACCATTTGGCAATGGTCCGCACAATTGTATTGGCTCTCGTTTGGCCATGATGCAAGTGAAGGCTGGTCTATTTTATATTTTGAAAGATCACTTAGTTCGGGTGTGCGATCGCACGGAGCTGGAACCAACATTTGATCCCAAGTTGAATGCTTTGCAAGTCAAAGGTGGAATTCATTTGGAAATTGTCAAGGATGAATAAAATTCATGGTGAATCATGTTTAAGTAAGGATATTTGTTGAATAAATGTTTGGGATATGAAGACCTATTAATATAAGAATCGGTTAGGTCTTCTATAATAAGACCTTATGGTCTGGTTTCCTATGATAGGACCTTTTGGTCGGGTCTTGTATGAGAAGAACTTTTGGTCTGTCCTTCTATGAGAAGACATTCTGGTTAGGTCCTCTATGAGAAGACCTTCTGGACTGATCTTCTATGAAAAGAGATAAAAACACTTTCAGGTCTTCTATGAGCAGATCTTCTCATGCTCTATGAGAAGACCTTCTTGTCTCCTATGAGAACACTTTCTCGACCTTCTTGTCTTCTATGAGAACACTGAGAAGACCTTCAGGTCTTCTATGAGCAGACTTTCTCATACTTTGTGAGCAGACGTTCTCATACTCTATGAGAAGACCTTCTCGCCTTCTGTGAGAAGACGTTAAAACTCAAGATCCCCAGTTGTCAAAATTTCTCGAAGAGAGAATCTATTTTTGGTGTGTTTTTTTTCTTCTTTTTGGACCTTAAAAAAAGGTTAGCTCATAAAATGGTAAAAGTTGCCCGCGTTGGAACAGAACTATTGTCTAGCATTGGCCCATCTAATTTAATTTTGATTATCTTCTACAATTTAATAAATGGAAACACACACTATTACCATATGTCATGCCCACTTGATGGTAGCTTTCTTCAAAATTGATTCACTGATAACGCTCATATGCTATTCACAAAAGTTCTCCCAAGCAATGACTTGCCAAAATGTCTGAAGTGAGGACGGTCAATGTTTCTCAAGGCATTCTTAACATTCTTCGTTATAATTTGCTCGATTCTGAGCACGCTTTAAGAATGTGCCAAGTGTACCGGGACGTATTTTCAGTGGCAATGTGATCGATTTTTTGACATTCAAAACTAATTTCGGCTTCCATCTGAAAACGTGAAATACCCCACAGCTCCAGTGGTTGGGATATACGGTCTGTATAAGCCGTCTTTTTTGATTCTTGATCTGGATATAATCAAATCGGCGCTCATCAAGGATTTCAATCGGTTTCATGATCGTTTTGCAAAGATTGATTATCACAATGACCCTTTACGGTCTGGTCTGGATATGAGAATACATTCTGGTCTGGTCTTCCATGAAAAGACCTTCTGGACTGGTCTTCTATGAGAAGAGATGAGAAGACCTTCAGGTCTTCAATGAGCGGACCTTCTCATACTCTATGAGAAAACCTTCTCGTGTTCCATGAGAAGACCTTTTCCTCTTCTATGAGAAGACTATCTCGTCTTCTACGAGAAGACCTTCTCGCCTTCTATGAGAAGTCCTCCATGAGAAGACCTTCTCGTCTTCTATGAGAAGAACTTCTCGTGTTCTATGAGAAGACCTTCTCGTGTTCCATGAGAAGTCCTCCTCGTCCTCCATGAGAAGACCTTCTCGTGTTCCATGAGAAGACTTTCTCGTCTTCTATGAGAAGTCCTCCTTGTCCTCCATGAGAAGTCCTCCTTGTCCTCCATGAGAAGTCCTCCTCGTCCCCCGTGAGAAGACCTTCTCGTCTTCTATAAGAAGACCTTCTCGTCTTTTACGAGAAGACCTCCTCGTCTTCTATGAGAAGACCTTCTTCTATGTGAAGACCTTGGTGTCTTCTATGAGAAGACCTTCTCGTCTTCTATGAGAAGACCTGCTCGTGTTCCATGAGAAGACCTTCTTCTCTTCTGTGAGAAGACCTTTAGCTCATCTACGATATGTTATGCCATAAAGGAGAAATTCTTTTCTTTTTTTCGTCTTTTTTGAGGAGACTACCCGTCTTCTATGGGAACACATTCACGTTTTCTATAAGAAGACCTTCTGATCTTCTATGAAAAGATCTTCTCGTCTTCTATGAGAAGAAGCCCTTCTTGTCTTCTATGAGAAGACCTTCTGATCTTCTGTGATAAGACCTTCTGATTTTCTGTGAGAAGACCTTCTGCTCTTCTGTGAGAAGACCTTCAGCTCTTCTGTGAGAAGACTTTCTGCTCTTCTACGAGAAGGCTCTCTTCTGTGGAATGATCTTCTTCTCTTCTCTGAGAAGACCTTTAGCTCATCTACGATATGTTATGCCATAAAGGAGAAATTCTTTTTCTCCTTTTTAAGAGGAGATTTCTACCTTTTCCCCTTACATACATTTCTATAAATTCTGAAAATTTTCGGTTCTTCATGCCCCTTCCAACACAGCCCTTTTAATTTAATTTATGGTTTATGATTTATGTGTCCTATTTGGCTGTCCTTCTATCCTCGCAACACATTCATGTGTATGTACATCCTTTTGTCATGGACACCTTCGGACACATGTTCCGCTCATAAGTATTTCTATTTTCATGCAGACGGTACCCATTATGATTTATTTGTTGTTCATAGGTTTGGATTTGAGTGCGCTCCGAGAATAAATGTGTCTGTAGGTTTGGAGTGTCCGACTGCCGCTACTGTGTCTGTGACATAAACGTTATTAATGTCTCACTCATTGACTCCAAAGCGGCATATTGTCATAATGCTACCGCTACCGTTCCATGGTTGTTATTTTTATCCGCATTTTGTAAACATTTCATTTGTCCATTGTCAAAATATTTGTTTACTCCGAGAATATTCATGTTCTTGTCCCATTTCCATGATTTTTATTATTTTTGACGTGGTGTGTCTGCACGCACGCACTGCCGTCTGTCCGTCACACAGGCCGGTCGGCCGTTCATCATGTTTACATTTGGCTTCATCGGTGACAATTTCGTCTTTATGAAAGTGACACCCACCCGTTGTTGTTACTTGTTGCCGGGCCGCCAGACTGACTCCCTGCCTGAGTGATTGTCTTAAAATCTCTGTCTGCATTTCTCTTTTTTTCCTCTCTCACAGCCATTGACACCACAGACGTGATGTAAAAATGTCATATTTTGACAAGCAACAAATCGTCGCTTCGTATGCTTCAACATGTTTCCCTGTTGTTGTTGTTGCTGTTGTTGTCTTCCCTTTTTTTCTCGTTTGTTCATAAGATTTGAGATAATTGTTGGAAGTATGACTTTGTGATAAAAAAAAGGAAAGACACGATGATTACAAATTGTTCCGATACACCGATACAATAGATTACAGTCAACGACCCCGGGTTAAATTTCTAATGATGTTGGTGGTGCTGGTGTTGGTAGTGTAGTATTGCGGGTAAATAGGATAATGGGAATGGCATTCGCAGAAGGATAATGAAATATTAGCTAATTTATCAACGCTGACAAAATACAAAGCAAATAAAAAAAAAGAATAATGACGATAATGAATCCGATGCGGTCGCTTGCAGGTTTAGAGGTTATGAGAGTAAACCATTTGTTCGAAGATTATGGGGTATGGAATTGTGACAAATTCTAATTTATTTCCAAGAAACTTATGGAGGGTATTTTTAGTTTTTTTTTTTTTGTGAAAAATTGGTATTACCATTAGATCTTCTCATTGAAGTCGAATATGTTGGTCTATAGGAGATCAAAATGCCTTTTAATGGGTGGCGGAGGGGTATAGCCATGGAATAAAAAATAATATTTAAATTCTTTGGAAATTGAAATAAATCAAAATTATCTCATTAAATCAAATGAGCTTGTTTTGTCATAAATATACATACCCAGTGAACCAAACTGTCCGAGTCAGACGAGGTCTTCGATTTCGGAAGAGTATTCGATCCGACTTGTGACCGAAAGTTATACGGAGTGGTTGACGTGTTGTCGGACCGAAGTATCGGATGAAAGTCTGAAATTTAAGTGAGGCCGAACTCGGAAGTAGAATCGTGTGTATTTCAATTTTTTTGCCGATTTTTTTGCCAGTTTTCGGCCGGATTCGAAAGAATGCTCGTATGGAGTCTGAAGGGCATATCAAAATTTGTATATTAAAATATGTGAATTCAAGCTTTTTCAACTTAAAACTACAAATACCAGTATGAAGGGGAGGTTCCGCAGCAGTTGGCCAATGTTGACCAATTCATATCTGACCTCAGACTTATATAAAAATTACAATGTGCCAGATTTGGACTATAGCGACTACTTCCTATACTTTATATGAGATATCTACAAATTTTTGGAAAAAGTGGAAATATGCGTGAGGTACAAGATATAGCAGACAGAAATATTCCATTTTTATACCCTCCACCATACTATGGAGAGTATATTAACTTTGTCATTCCGTTTGTAACTCCTCGAAATACTCATGTCAGACCCAACAAAGTATATATATTCTTGATCAGCGTAAAATTCTAAGTCGATTTAGCGATGTCCGTCTGTCTGTCCGTCTGTCTGTCTGTCTGTCCGTCTGTCTGTTGTAATCACGCTATCTTTCGAATGAATTGAGATAAATGGCTAAAATTTTGCACACATGTTTATTTTTCCAGTAGGCAGGTTAAGTTTGTAAATGGGCCATGTAGGTCCACGTTTTCATATACCCCCCATATAACGGTACCTCCCGATATTCGGTATTTTGATGATTTTAGCGTCATTATTCACCGGAATTGTTTCAAAATTGGTATTTGAAGTTCGTTATGGGAACTACAGTCTGTGACAGAAAATTGTCTATGCTGGTCCAGGTCTTCGTATAGGCCCCATATATCAGTACCTCCCTATATTCGGTATTTTGACGATTTTAGGTACAATACTCACCGAAATTGTTTGAGATGTGGTATTTGAAGTTCCTACTGGATGCTACAGCCTGTGACAGAAATTTTTCTATGCTGGTCCAGGTCTTCGCACAGCTCCAATTAAAGGCACCTCCTTATATACGATATTTTGATGATTATACTTACATTATTCACCGTTTATTTCAAGTTTAGAATTTGAATATGGTAATGGCTTATGACAAACATTGCCTATGTATGTCCACGTCGTATAGACCCCAATATAACGGCTATATTTGGTATTTTTAAAATTTTAACAGAATTTTTTAAGGATTTTATTTTTTAAAAATTTCCAAATTCGTTGCAAATGGTGGAGGGTATTAAAAGTTCGGCCCGGCCGAACTTACTGCTTTTT